ACCACTGCGACCGCAGCAGTGCTCGCTGCACCAAGGAAATGGACTGCACTTCCAAGTTTCCTTGGAATATAAGAATATTGCATGTAAACATGTAGATTCAGTTAAAAAAAAAGGCACCACAAAGCATATTACTATTTCCAAAAACTACAGATGGAATAAAAATAATACCAAGTAAGAACGTGGTATTTATCTGATAAAAGAATCACAAACAGGGCTTCTCTTTAAGACAAACATCTAATTTCTATACTTATCTGTTCATTATCTGCTAATTGTGGAAGCAAACCTCCACAATTTTGCTCAGCCTCAACATGTGTAATTCTCATTAGTGACAATGGGGAGCTGTGAGTGCATACTGAGAGAACAGAGAGTACTGTAAATAAAATGCTGATGCAAATGTTTGGCTTTCTAATAATTTTACCCACTCAAGATATTTAGCTTTACAAAATTATTTAATTACCTAGATTTATTCTTGGATATATGGCAGATTTTAAGGACTGTAAAAACAYAAACCTAAGGAAATTAAATTCTTGAGCATACACAATGTGTGCCAAGGTTGTAAGAATGATATAAAAGATAATCATTATATAGCAGGGACTTACAGTATCACCATGACTATGAGTCTGTCAGTGCTCCCTTTCTAAGCATATACCTCTTTCTAACAATACATGCAAGTTCTGCTGAAGTAGCACTGGATATCTTGTTACGAGCACTGTGCGACTCTTAAAACAGTCATTTTATTCTGATTAAAATGCAACATAGGAAAAATTTATTTTCTCACTCTGTGCTCCTAGGTCTAAGATGATGTGCACTGAACTACAGATGTGCCCTATCATTTCCAATCCATGTGCTGATGTTTTCAAAAAAAAAAAAAAAAAGAAAAAAAAAGTGAAGGATGAAGGAATATTGAATTATGTCTCAAATTATCCCTGAACTGTAACTTCTTTCTCTTCATGGTACAGGTTTCTGTTTTAAGGCAGCTGGGATTCTAGGTTTCCTGTTTTAGTTCATGCAGATTGCGTATTTTCACAAGATTTATCTTAAGGGCTTTCCCAGTCTTCATGAGCATTTTAATGAAATTTCATTTAGGTGATTACTGATAGAAACTAATAATCTAACGTTTCTCTCAATTGATCAGAAGCTCAAAATCAAGTACCAGCTCATTAATAATAACCTAAATATATCTCTGTTTGTATTTCCAATGGCTATTTAAATGGCTTTCCATATAACCCAGATTTGTTTATTTTTACCACACTGCTCAGAGGGCATTAGTAACTGATCCTGATGCATTTGGGGTTAGTCCATTCAGAAATGTACTCATAAATTTTTTTTCTGCTATCCTTAGCTTATATAAATATCCTAATCATGACATATTATAACCAAAACCTAGACAATACTAAATTACTTTCTGACCAACAAGGAACAAGGAAAGTCAAAAGAAAGGCAGGCTAATAATTAGGGCACTCTAGGAGCTCCCTAAATCTATACCTGTTTAGATCTTTTGGATCTACACCTGTTTTTCTGATCCATACCTGGCATAGGTGTAAACTATACCTACGTCGGTATAGTCGGACTGCTGACCATTATGGATCTCCATGAAAGGTTTCCCTCCATCCACTGCATGGAGAATGCAAATGCCTAGTGCAGGACAGAGCACCCCACCACCTTGCCTCCTTCTCCAGCTAGTCTAATTGCTTCTTGCTCAGATGGCTAATATTTACCCCAAGAGACTGGGCTGACAGAAGGGGCTATCTCTGAACTGCTCATTCAGTCAGAGCTTAAAGCAAAGAAAATGTACTAGAATAGCAAAAAAAGAAAATAACAATAAAAAAAGTTAAAATCACTTTTGATGCTCCTGAACCACCTCAAGGGGAAAATTATTACAAATACAAATTAATTTGTCATAGTGACAGATGAYACACTTTCTTGTTCCTGCCAAGAACTTCACAAGCTCCCTAAAGAAAATGCATGGGAAGGAGGTCCCAAGCACTGGCACAGAGTCTGCCCAGGTCTAGCTTGCCCTTCCCCACGCTTTTTGCTACGTGGGCTCGCCTGTTTTCCAGCTCAGATCTGGAGAGGCACCGCAGCTCTGCCTGCGGCTGGGGGCAGCCCCGGGGCTCCTTGGTGGCCCTGCTTCAGAGCCTGCCTGGGGACCAAGGTCCACGGGGCAGCTCCCGCCTGCCCGTTCTCCAGACTCCGGAGGGCCACTCGGCCGGACCACCCGGGCTGCRTCAGGCCGCACCACGGCAAATCCCTCCACTCCTGTGACACGCTCGGCTCCCACGCCTGGGGAGCCGTGGGGGGAACGAGGCAGCCGCGTCTCGGCTCCAGACCCTACCTCGGCCATGCGGGTGCACGGAATGAAGCGCACACTGCGGCAAAGCAACGCGCAAAGGCTTCGCTCTCAACGAGTTTTACATGAAAAATATAAGGTGCCACAAGGCTGCAAGCCTTTTGTTTTTATTTTCTGGAAAGATGAAAACACAGCGGGACAAAAAGAATGCATAAAAATACACAAAAAGTCTTTTAAGACAAGCAGAATCTAGCACTAACCATTTCAATACCCATCTGTAATTTGTCTTCACAGAATACTGGGAATTTGTGCAAACGTACAGTTGGTTGTGTAAGCTGGTCCACCTAAACTAATCTCCAATTTGTAGAAAATTTATCCTTACATTAAAAAGCCCAGGTTATTTTGCAGCCTCTAAATAAATGAGCTCTTTATCTGTCCCAAGGACTACTCATACATCTTTGATGAGTTGAGAGTATTTATTTTTTACTCCTGGCATTTAGAAGAGGATATAAAAATCAAAATACTGATATTACCTAACAATTTATGGTGTCACTTATCGTACACTTGAACATATATTTGCTAGATGAGCTCTTTCATCCCTATACATTTGTCTTATCATACACCACACATCACTTCATGGCTACAAGAACATTTTAAATCAGCAAGTATCACCTAAGCCAATGCCGTGTGTCTGCAAGCCGATGTGTGCCAGCTACAGCATATAAGATAATGAAACACTTCACATATTATTGGCAAAGTATATGAGCTGTTAAAAGTGGGACCTCACAGTCTTACAGCCAAACACCTGGCAAAGTTCAAATGCATTCCACAGGTTTGGTAAAAGCTCATTTTTCGTCACTTAGTCCATGTCTACGCAGAAGCATTTTACCTGTATGGAAGTGAAGTATTTATAGGTCGCTGTTTGGGAAACAGAATCTTTCAAAACAACCTCAGCAAAAAACATTGCTTAACATTCTGCCAAAAGAAATCTTCCTTGGAGGCTGAAAAGGTTGGCAAGACCACGATACAACCAGTGTTTTCTCTCTACTTTTTTTCCCCAGTCGCTGAACTCAACCAGTATCAGCAGAAAATTGAGAAAAAAAAAGTTTTTCAAAATACCTCTGGCTCAAGGCAAAATGAGAAGCTCTGTCATAAGTGAACCTGCCCATCAGTTCCTCTCTTCAGCTTAAAAAAAGATATATCATAGATGCTGGATGAGCTACAGAGAACTTCATGATAACTCCCAGAAGGTCAAACAAACCCCAAATTTCAGAAGTCTTGAAGCCTGCCCATCAGCATGAGCTCTTCAACAGGGCTGCTTCTTTAACTCCAGAATGAACTCACAGAGGTCCTTCATATACATGCCACAGTCAGCTCCTGCAGGGCCAAACTCCCATTTGACTTCAAAAAATCTAGTGACTGCTCAACACAKCTCTCTCTTGCACGTTGTGAAGAGCATGACAACATCCAATGTTATCATAGGAATCCTCTTCTCCTCGTTTGATCCTTCTAGCACACAACCTTGCACGGCACAACACATCTGTCAAAGCTACTGTAAGGGAGTCTCTTAGAGATGAGACACTAACAGGGGGGAGATGCATAAAAGAACTCAGTGGAGCTTTAGTGGTAAAAATATGGGTAACAAGTTGCACCAGAATAATGAACTCAATGCTCCTGTCTAATCCACTCAAGCTCTGTAAGAGGACAATGTCCAGCACACYCTTGGGGGTTAGTTAAGAGCCAAATAGGAGACTGAAAACACAGAGAAGAGAAGGATCCAGTCCAAAAACAGGCAAGTCACACAAGGATAAAGGCATTCAGAACCTCCTGCATCTAGGACATTGGACCTGTGATTCCCATGTGGCAGCTGTTTCGTAGCCTGTACAAAATGAAATGGTGGTTTCAGAGCCACTAGTCAGCAGACAGATGTTTATTTATATTACAGATGGAACTACGTGGCAATCTCAGCGCAGAATCCATGCAGTTTTGCTGGGTTAAATCACCACAGATAAGAGGAGAAAGTTTCCAAGTTTGATACTGTTCAACCCCCCTTATCATTCACGGGGTCACTCCAGGTTGCAGCCAAGATGTCCTGCTGGAAGTGCTTAAACCTCCGCTATCTGCTGTGTTTGCAAATACACAAATCCAGGCAGTACAGCATTTCATACAGACATTACATTAACAATTGTAGGCAATTTTTAAGTAATACCAAGTATTCTTTGAGAAAAACTACACATTATTTTTTTTATACTGCTTTAGCCTCCAGAACAATTTTATCTTGCAGACTGGCTTAGAAATGTGAATAATCCCAAATCTCTCAGCGGCCTTGGCCCTGAGAGCCAGGCTTAGCATGAGGACTGGTTGCTCTTGATTTTTTTCCCCGGTGAATGCACACACTCAGCTACAGCACAAACTTCAGATGATTTTACTCCAGAAAACCACACAAGCAAAGGCATCTGTTGTTTTAAGGAGAATGCTCCATGTGGAAAAACCAGCACATGACACTTTAAAAGGGCAACACAGGCYGTTGCTACTGAAATATAATAGCCAAAAGACTTTAATCAATCTGCATGTTGTTCATTGCCTGTATGTCTTTAAAAATGGGCATCTGAGATGTCTCCTACTGAGAAGAGCACTAGGTTTCAGTCACTGGTGTTTTTGTCATGTCGCAGCTACCCCTCTGTAAACGTGAGGTTGACTCCCGTGCAGGTCAGTGAGCCTGTGCCGGTGTCAGGGCCACGAGAGCACTCGCAGGACTTGGGTGTCCCCGAGCAGCCTCGCACAGGGACACCATGGACACCTTGCCCATGACACCAGGACACCATTTGRGCTTGGAACCATCACTCCCTGCTGCAGCAGGGCCACAGCAGTGGCCTGTCCGGCCATGGACCGCAACCCACATTCTGACTGCCCTTCCCGGCCTTAGCTCTGCCCCATCACCATAGCTCAGGCACCACGGGAGCTGATCCCAATCCCATCCTGTGGGGCTAAGGGACCTCGGACCTGCTTCCCGCCATGCCCAGGCCTTCCCTTCCCTGTACGGGCCCCGCTGCCCCCGTGCAGGGGGACAGGCTGTGGCAGCAGGGCCCTGCYGCCACCRGCGGTCCCCAGGGAGCCCCCGGCCCACGCAGCGCCTGCAAACGCTGCCACCCCGGCCACGGACTTGTGTGGGGGGAGCCTTCAAAGGAGAAAAATAACAAGCTGCTCCTTCAGGAAAACACCGCGAGGATAAACCGCCCTTTCAACTGGGGCGAAGGGTGGG